TATGTAGGCTTGTAATCCTGTCCCTCCTTCCAAAAGAAGGTTCTTCAAATGTGACTCTACTGATGTTTCATGGTTTTCAGGCCTTTGCTCTCTGCCTGAATTACGTTGTTCAGAATGCTTGTTGACTTCTGTCGAGGAGGGAAGTAATAATGAAACAACTTCATGTGTGGCTGAGGAGGTTTTTTCCAGTGGAAGATACTCATTTTACCCGAATGACTCAAGGAGTTGTACTTTAGTTATTGAATCTGAATAGTATAAATTCAAACTGCAGTTTTACAGGGATATAGACTTTGCAGGCAGTCTTAATTCTGTTCATTTTTGGTGGTGGTGGTGAAATTAGTATAATAGAGGCTACAGATTCCTTTCCAAAACCAAAATAAATATTGTATGTAAATATTAGTTGGGAGTGGGTTGGAGAGGAGTCTGGAGAAGCAAGGTATGGAGTGTTGTGGAGGGCAGACTAAGAAGAGTCAGAGGCTCAGTGCTGGTTGAGAAATTAGGGGGAGGCAGAGGTATACTGCAGCAGGGTCTTCTGAGTCTGTATTTTTCTGTTATACCTGATGCTGCGCATCCAGCTGTTTCTGAATCCCCTCTAAAGCTATGATTAGGTGATCCTGATCAGAACATGTTTGATACCTTGAAGACTATGGAATAACATAGTTATTGTTGTGGAGGAAGGGGGACTGGCCATAGTCACTTGAAGATAGATCTGGAGTGGAGCTTTGGTACATGGGTTGTGGGTTTAAGGGAAGCTTGGGACTTAGATTGAGTATATGACTTCGGCTACGTACAGAAAATCGTCTTTGATTTGGTGCAGCTTTGCCAAAATACACCCAACTAGTTCCTTCCTTCATTGTCATGGATTTTTATGCAGGTATATTGAACAAAACAGATGCAAACGACTCGTGATTTTAAAAGCTCGTGCTAGCTCCAGAGCGGCAGAGTTAGGGTTATTTTGGCATGTACTTCAACTCTTTGCTATGTTGCTTTCAGGGCTACTCAGGATTCTCGAGTGGTGTGTAACTTCTGTATTACTGATGCTTTGTACCGAAAGCTTCTGGCACTGTACTACTGAAAGGACAGAATTAAAATCAGTGGCTTGCTTCACTCAGACAGTGACTGTATGATGTTGAGCTGCTGTGGTGTTCTGAAGAAGCAGGAGTAACTTTAAAACGCCTTTACGTATTTTATATGTAAGAGTGCATATGTGTTGGAAACCATATGGAAAGAGGAATGTGTACCAGTGTTGACTGCTTGACTACTTGACTCTTCTGGTTACACATCCTCCTTCTTGAGGCAAGTGAAAAGACAACACACACCAGGGATTTGGTGAGATGAGGTTGGGGTAGATGGTCGAGATAAAGCTTGTCATTGGATCGTTAGTGTACTGTTATGCGTTTGGTAAAGATCGGAGACGTTCATTTGGACCAGGAGCTAAAGAGAACGTTCAGTGTTAATTGTGGCAATATTAGTAGGGTGCCTGCGCATAAATAGATCTCAGGACTGACCTCAAACATTTTTATCAAGGTGCTCAAACTCCGGGAGCTTTCTGGTGTTTCTTCTGAGGACAAAAGCTAGAGTATGTCTGCAATTGATTTCCGGATGATAGAAAATTATCTTTGTTATCTGTAGACATGAATGGGAATAAATGTGATCGTTTGGGGTGCCTGCAATCAAGATATGTATCTGTACTACTTTTTCCTCATCAGGAGAGTGCTGTTTTCCTCTTGCAAGAGAAGACTAGCAATACTAGCAGTAAAACTGACCTTGGCACACCAGCAGGAAACATACCTTCCTCTTCAGAGTTCCAAATTTGCCCTCTTTTCCAGGGATCCTAAGGATCTGCCAGCTCTCACTGCTTTATTTGGCTGATAAAGTTTTAAAAAAAAAAAAAAAGCACATACCAGACTTCAAACCTACCAGATTCCACTGAAGCATCAATCAAACCTAGAAAAGAAAACAAGCTTACTCCAGCAGAGTGAAAATGTGGTTATTTATTGCAAAATGAGAAAGTTGTAGAAAGGTAAAGCCAACAAAACATGCTCTCAGTAGATATCTGTATGTGACACTTGGAGTTCTTTTATAAATGTGATTTGAGGTCTCTGAATTGTGTTGCAGTTGAAGAAGCTGATGGAATGACTCAACAGCATTTCAGTCTTTGAATAATGTGTTTCAGAACAGGAGTCTAAAATTAGTGAGGAATGAGTTAAAGCCCTTAGTCTTACAGGCTGCTCAGGGCAACTGCTTCTGTGAGACTGCTCTTGTTCCTTTTGTAATAGTGGTTTGCAGTTATTTTTTTTTCTTCCCCTCCTTCTGTCTCATGACCTTCAAGGCCATCGTTTTTAGTTGCATGTATTTTTAATGGCAGGTTCATCACCAAGTCTTTAAAACTGTTAAAATGCTTTTAATTGGCATTTATTTAAAAATGTATGGCATACTTGTGTTAGTTCTAAAACTAGAAGGTGTCACAGTGTCTAGCAGCCATTGCACAAAAGTATCCTGACTTCCATTTCAAGGAGATAACTAGCTCATATTTGGACATGCTAGTGACAAAACAGAGAAAGGCATTACTGACTGTTGTGGGGTTTTTAAATACTTCTTTGTTAGAGATCATGCCGAGAACTAGATAGCAGGATTAAACTGACTCAAGATTTCGGGATTGGGGAGGAAACCTTTATTGATTGAAAAAATCCAGGCTTACTCTAATCTTGAAGCTTTCTTTTCTTCCCCAAGCCTGAATGAAAGCACATAGATCTTTCCAGCACTCCGGTACCATTCAATAGCCATCCTTAGGCACCCCTCCTGTTATTTGTAACTTTTACAGGTGATTAAGGATGTAGGACCTAATCTCCTGGTTTAGGTACGTGGATAACAGTTCTCAGTGATGTGAGATAAATTTGTACCTTTATGCGTTCCTTTCTTGTTATTTCCCTGTGGGGTTGTGCAGGGTCAGAAAGCAAGGAGCATTTCTCACACTCTCTTCTCTATGAGATTCATGAGTTTCTCTGGTAATGCTTTCATGCTGGTTCAGAGAGGAGAATCATTAAATTAACCAATTCTTAGTATACTTGGACTTGTGGTATCATGTGGATCGGCACATTGTTGGTGAGTAGAATCAGCAGAACCTCGTTGCTTGCGGATTCGTCCTGTTGGTCTTCAGCTTTGCTGCTTTGTGTCTCCTAATGCACGCACCAGGCAAGGCAACACGTGCTGGGAGCTGGGTGGGTGCTGCTGGCAAGTGGGGTGCCTGAGGGGAGGCACAAGAAGGGCCTTTCCCCAGTAGCATCTTTTTCTTTGTCTCTCCACCAGCCTCAAAACTTACAGAAACGTAGCCCTGTTTGGAAAATCGGCTCTTGCTTGCTGGGTCTGGATCTGGCAGGCAGCTATAATGGTTCTTACAGCAGGTGACCAGAAGTGGGATGGTTGTGTAAGGTGAGGCTGAAAAAGGGTAACTGCCATTGAGATAGGAAAGTTATTCAACTAATAACTGGAACCTTTAGTGTTTCATCGACAGCAGACTGCACCTTATGGATGGAGGAGCTGCTATGTACAGAAGTGAAACTTCTGCAGGTTCCCCTTGGCATGGTGGCAGAGTGGCTGGGTTGATGAGGTGTCACAGCCAGAACCATCTCAACTAAAGGAGTTTGTTTTAAATATTTCGGGCAAATAACTCTTTGTCTTAGTAGACAGAGAGATGGGTGAGTTGATGCTGCTTTGAGTTTTGAAAATCATCACTTGATGTAATGCTGTGAATTACGCAACCATTTCTTTTGACATAGCTTCTCGGTAGTGAATCTAACACAGCCGGGAGGGGAAAAAAGCTTTACGTCTTCAGTGGGAGGTCTTGTTGCAGGTAGACAATCTTGTGAATCTACAACGGTAGCTGTGAGGCAACAGCTTTAGCTTTCCGGATAGGAAAAACCCCTCTCCCTCCACTTTCTCTCTGAATCAACCTTAGTTTCACTTTTTCTCAGAGGTAGGAGTGCAAAGTAAGCTATAAGGCCATCACTTACCAAAGGTGTATAGCAGTGTTGGTATGCACAAAGTACGAGCTATTCAAATAAAAATAGCATAGGCCAGTGAAAAGGTGACATTTTTAACAAGTACATTTGTTTGTAATTTATTCTGTAATACTTAGGGTAGATGTTTCTGAAACAATACTGGAGATGCTTCCAGACAAAATGGAGTAAAACTTTAGTCACAGAGGATCTTTGGTTTCTGTTCATTGGTCTTCACAGTATCTTACTGGTTTTGGTGGCAGTATGGTGCTTAAAGGTTTTGGTTTTTTTATTAGGTGCTTTTTCATATGGATTGAGTGCTTTCAAGTTCTAATATAATAGAAAAATCCTTTGGTTCCATGCTCCCGAAAGAGTCCCAAAGTATTGCTTGACAAGTCCTTGTCGTGAAGTCTCGTTACATTTTGAATATTTAGTATTGAAGAATCTTTAAGTATTTCAATGTTTAATGTAACTTAATATTAAATACCTGAATCTTTTTTCTCTTTTTGTTCACATATCCAGTGTCATTGTGCTATGGATTCAGATTCAAACTTAATCAAATCTGTCTCTCCATGGTAGTCACGTGCTGTCTCCAGCTGCAGCTAAAATTCCCACACTGACAAATAAAAGACCAGCTGTTCCTGAGTTGCATGTTAGAACTTCAGCAACTTCAGGATGAGATGTGTATAACTTGCCTGGTTTGTGTGGTGTGGGTTTTTTTTTTTATGGCATCCGCATCCCACCTCACTGTGTGGAATGAGGAGTGTAGGGCCTTGAACAGTAAAGCTGCATCTGTTGAAGTTTATCTTGTGTTTGAGAGTTTCATAAAGTAAATAAAGGGTTCTTTACTAGTGAACTTTATATCAAGTCTGCTATGCCTGAAAGAACCTCAGAGGTTTTCCTATAACTTTGCTCACTGATCTTAGCTGAAGAGGCCCAGATTACCATCAAGCCAGAACGCCTGAATTTTTACTGTGATGACTGACTTATTTTCTTTTCCTCCCCCCTCCAACAGGAACAGGAAATACAGTGGTGATAATGGTGGGCTATCCAAAAGGAATAGAGATATTGGAGCCAGTACGAAGAGGGATTCCCGTAAAAATGACTATTGTTGTTGGCACGCGACACGTGCAGGAATATATTAGTGGTCAGTCGGTTGTGTTTGTAGCCATCGCCTTCATCACCATGATGATTATATCACTCGCTTGGCTCATATTTTACTACATACAACGTTTCCTGTATACGGGATCACAGTTTGGAAACCAGGTAATTGGTGATGATGATGCCTAAGAGTAGTTACCATCTTCTCATGTCAAATCAGTTACCTAACTTTGCTTGTTTATTGAACCATTCTTGAAGATTTGTACCTTCCTGCTACTTTACTAGCTGTGAATGCTACTCAGTAATGGCTAGTGAGGCTAATAAGTAGTGTGCTAATTGGCATCACAAGTTTGGCTGGTTGTAATTATTAGATACCCATATGAAGTCGTGGGAAATATATGTAGCCACTTGTCAACAACTGAGTAAAGGAAGCTTCTTGTGTCATTTGTCACCTAACTTAACTTCCTTCCTTTTGACATTAAAATTATTTTTGTTTTTCAGTAATTCTTGTTCTGAAAGCACTAATTTCTCTAATCAGGCTTTTTTTTCTAATGGACCGGGACCATGGTAGTTTTTTTCCTTAAGACCCACAAGTAATTAGGGCTAAAATTTTGGTTCTAAAGCTTTATGAAAAATGCTTTTGACACTTGTAATCCTACTACTCCACCGCAGAGTACTGAATGGCAGCAGACTAGAAGGACCATGTATGGTGTCATTCAGCTCTTTTGGACTGTCTGAAGTGCTGAGTGGTGGGAGTACTGGGAAGATCAGGAAGGAATAACTTTGCTCCTTAATTCCAAATCCCTGTTGTTCTTTTGATAGGTTAAAAAAAAAAGTCAGCTTTACTTTTTTCCCCTGAGGGAAGTACTTCATCATAGAATAATTTAGGTTGGAAGGGACCCCTGGAGGCTATCTGGTTCAAACCCCCACACTCAAGGGAGCAGCTTCCATGGAGTTGTTGGGGACCTAGTCCAGCTGAGTTATTTTAAAATATCTTAGGATGGGACTTCCCTGTGCTTTTCAACTCTCGCAAATAGGTTAGGTTCCTTCCATGGTCATCAGCAGCTCTACCACAGTTCTCTACTAACAGTGAAAAAGAAAGTTGTGCTTGGTTATCTTTGCAAGCAGTTCCCTGGTTTGGTTTTTTTTTTCCCCGCAGTTCAGAACCAAAAAAAAATGTTTTGAATAACTGCTTATCATGTGGACTTCCCCTGCCTTCTGTTTGAACATGTAGATTCTAGCTTTGGGGGAGGAGGGAAGTGAATTTTTGCTTGCTTTCAGGAGTCTGAGATCTGATGAGGACTTGCAGGACTCTTCTAGGAAAATACTTAATTTATCTTTTCAGTAACTGAGGATAACACATGGGACTTCTGTATTGGTTAAACTTGCAGTCTACTTGAAATATTGGTTCCCTAGAGTCTCTTTTACTAAGCTTTAAGTCTTAGAACTTACATTTGAGAATACTTTAAAGAAAACAAAACTTTTGAGAAGTATTTATAGAAAAAGGGGTGTGTTTTTTGTGTTGTAACAGTTGTTGGATGAAGAAAGTTGCTTCTTCCTGTTATGTTGGCTTTAGGATAGTTCATGCTAAGGGAAGTTCAAATGCTTTATAAGTAGTTTTAAAAGTTGTTTTTAGGTTGAATGTGATGTTTCCCAGAAATATGTACCACAAACTCTTAATACATTTTGCAATTGGGCTTGTCATCTAAATGCTTCTTAAATCAAATTGTGCAGCATTAGAAGGTTATGCCACTTTCCTCAATTCTCCTTCTTTTAAAACGGCCATTGAAAACAAAAATCTATAAAACTTTGGATAAAGTTTGAAAATGTTGTGAATATCTTGGTCAAGATATATCATTAGAAGTCTTAAAAGAATTATGGAAACAAAAAGCCACTTTTCTAACCCAAATGTTATTTTGCTTGGCTTATTGACTCCAGTGTAATTAAAACTTGGGAGTTAAGTATGCCAGGCTTTAAAGCAAGTTACTGTGTAGCTGCTAAGTTAAGGTGAAGACAGGTATCTTAAGATTTATTCTAACATCAGTTTAGCAGTAAATCTTTGGAAGACCTCCTTGCTACTGAAGATGAAACAGGACTGCGTGGAAAACCCTGAGCTGATACAGAAGGTGGAATAGACTGCTGCTGCTGGTTGTCTGTCCATTTCTGAGAGAACTTTCAGACTAATTCTTTTTAAGACCATAAGAAATAAAACCCCCCCAATTTTCAATACTGTAAGTTTGTAAAATTATACAAGTCATTGTAATTATTATTACAGGGAAAAGCTGCCATTAGGTGGGTTTTTTTGAATCCTTAATGGTATTTCATCAGTGACCGTTGCTGCTAGACAGATCAACATCTGTTAATTGGGAGTGTTTAGTTTCTCAATTTCTAGCAGTAGCTAGCACTTTGTCTTGGAATACAGTACTGCTTTCTTTTCTTGCTTCCCCTCTAAGCATAATTAGGACTGTTTCTGCATAGAAGTCCGGTATGGTGTCTCATGTCTGTTAAGCCTTTCTTGTCATCTCCTTTGCATAACGTGTCCTTTCAGTGCAAAGCTTTGTATAATGTGTGAGACAGCGTTGAACTGAGGGGAAGCGTTAATAGCTACAAGCAGCCTTTTGACCTGGTGGCCAGCTGTAGGCTGCCCAGCAGGATTCCGCCTTCTCTCAAGCTTGTGCGAAACGTGCGGTGTGCTTGCACATGGGCTTGCCTAACTGGTTATATGGCTGTTGTTTCAGCTCTGATGCCTCTAAAGCCTAAATTAGTGTCAATTTTCCTGTGCGGGAAGGCCCCTGGTGCAGGCAGTCATGATAGGAGGCTATGTGTGTCAACTTGGTCTGCATAGTTCTGCACTTGTGGAGTTCATTGTAAGAGCACTATGCTTTATAGATAATGTTTGATGCTGTGCCCTGAGAATGCAAAACTTGCAGTTCTTCAACATCTGCTGGCTGGAAGTATTTTGTAAACAAATTAGCTAGCCAGAGATTAATCTTTAAGTGCATTCAGAAGACTTAGTAATCCACGTGGAAAGTATTTAAAAGCTTTGAAATGTAACTCTTAAAACCAACTTGTGTACTAATATTTAAAATCTTTATTCAAGGGGCATAGGAAAGAAACCAAGAAAGCAATCAGCCAGCTTCAGCTCCATACTGTGAAACGTGGAGAAAAGGTAATTCAGTGGCTCTGGTCATTGCTGTATGATTTAAAAACTGTTGTAATGTCTTCATAGAATTTAAACTAAAATTCTCACAGTGTAATTGTAGTGTGACTCTTACAAGTTTAGGCTCATTTTAGCACCTTTGCCTAGAAGGCCAAGCTTAAAATTTGAACTACTTATGAAATGTAAGGCTGTTTTGCTGCAAATAATATCTGATTATACAAAATGTCGCAAGAAACTACAGGGCTGACACTGTAAAGATGAGAAAACACTAATATCTTATCAGCACTTGAAAACATCAACAAGTGGATTGCAAAATACTTCCTGGGACCTATTGATTGCATGGTTCTCACAGCTGATGTAATGTTTTTTTTCTTAAAAGAACATCCATCTTTTTATTGATCAGAAGGCCTTAGAAATCTAAAAAGCTTTGAAAAATGAAACGCTTGTTTCATCTTTCGACATACTACATATAAAGGAGCTGTATAGACTTACTTGAAGCATAAATTTTTTAGAAGTACATTTCTATGTATTAAAATAAAGCTATTCTTAAAATTAAAACAGCTTTCAAAAAGTTAGCTTTGACAGCATATGGCCTAAACTCGTAGAAAAAGCCAAGGTTTTGAAAGAAAATACTGGTTTAGTCAGAGTTTCAGGCAGCTCTGATTCTAGGTGCTAAATTAGTTTATGACTAGACTTCTGCTACTACATAGACATTTTTTCCCACCCTTATTTGTCTTACTTGATTAGTTTTTATTTAAGGACTGATTTTCTCAAAGATGAAAAACAACAATTAGTTTTTTAATCCATGAATAAAATTAAGGTGAGAAGACACTTATGTGTAAGAATTCTAAAAGCTGTGGTTCAACAGAAGCTGTTCAGCTCAGGTCACATGCTACAGAGAATATGACCTTCATTTACTAAATCAGTTCTGAAATTAAAAAAAACAACTGTCTTTGAACTTCCCTCCTTTTCTCTTATGCATTCAGCATGTTTAAGTAGCACTTTACGAGTATTTGTTACTTTTAATTATATTCTAAATTCCATCAAAAAGTAATCTATTTCAGGCTGTGAACAGAGGGATTTTCATACTTCTGTTCATACAATGGTGAGATCAGAGATCAAGAACGATGGAATGGAACCAAAACTTGTGTAAAGCAGTATCAAAGCATAACATCAGCATAGGAAGAAATGGATGTAAAAGGTTCATGATGAAACGTGTGGTGAGAACCACGAGGAAGCTGTTAACTGCTTTTAAGCTGATGTTCAGGAAACCTCTAACAAGGATTTGTATTGTGAGACTTTTGCAGTGTAGCAGGTAGTTCCTTCCCATCAATATACCCTTGACTAAAATAAAATGAGGGAATTTAATTAAGTTGTTATGTAGCATGCTGGTTGTAACTATGAATGCTGTATTAGTTAAGCAAAGTAGAATGAGATAAGAATCTCTCTATTAAAATAGAGGTTTTCTGCTTGGTAAATCCTGTCTTCTAATTTGATTTGAATCAGCCTACTATCAGCAAATTTATGGAACTTGATGCAGAGGTACTTTCATGAACTAATGTAAATTTATCTGGAAGTACAGTCCCATCTACTCTGTAAATGTGCATTTTTTTTCTTTAAATATTTCCTTTCAGCCATTATGAATAAAAGAGTATATTTCTCTTATCATGACACAGTACAGTCTGTCATTATCACTTCACTTGGGGTTGAGGTATTTAACTAAAAATAGGTCAATGTTTTAAAAGTGTATTTGCTATCATGTAGATCTTTCCTGAGAAGCTTATGGGATTATTGTAAAATGGACACTCATTTGAGTATGTGCTACATACTGTATGCTTGAACTTTGCCTCTTATACAGAATAAAAAATATTTGTTATAGAATAAATACTTGTCTTAACTTTGCTTATGTAAAAAAACAGTCTTAATTTCTTGGGAATTCAAGGCATTACTTATATAAACTGATAGCATGCAAAGGAGGGAAAAACTTGCCTTGAACTTGCAAGTTTGCTTGCAGTACTAATTCATTGGAGTGTTTGTGGTAACGAAATTGAAGTGCTTCAGTAAGCAGTAAACACAAAATACTTACTTTGTGGGGGATGAAAGGGAAGAAGTTGGCCCACTGTCTGTTCTTCTATTACTTATGTTTTATACAACCCAGTTAACATTGAATTATTTCTCTTGCATCTGGAGGTATCCATCATATTTGCTCTGCAATTATAAGTATGGCTTCAAGAAGGCAGTAAGACCTGTTAGGAAAGATATTTAACTATTACAAAGAAATAAGTTGAAGTGGGGAGGTACTGCATTTTGGCTGTCTCTCTGGTGTGAGCTTGGAGAGAAGTTTTTAAAACCATCCCAAATTGCGTACTTTAGTTCTCTTGTAGCTACCAAGGGATATCTGCTGAATGTGGTAGAAAAAAGAAAAAAGTGGGGAAGAAGGGCTTTGCAGTATTCAACCCCAAGTATCTCGTCCTACTTAAGCACTTGCAAGTCTTTGGGACCATCAGTTAAGAATTAGATTGTGTGCTTTCATCTAAGCTGCCATCTTTTAAAATTTCTTCGTTTTATAGTTAGTTTAAACTGAAATTTTACTGTGCTCCCATGAGCAAAGCCAATGTTTGAGACTTAACAAATTACTTAAGGTACTATGTGTAGCTATTTAAATCAGAAAATCCGAGTTTGGCTGCTTTTAGTATTTGGTATCACTTGATTAAATCACCTCTTGATGGAATCTTTAATTAAATGAGATGTTTTTATTTGCTAAATCACTTTATACCTTTTATATTCTGTGAAGCTAGCTATTACACAAAGCTTGTTCTGTAATGAAATATGGATGTAATGCGTTTAAATGTGTTGTCATCTTTAGGGTTTAGATGTTGATGTGGAGAACTGTGCTGTGTGCATTGAGAACTATAAACTGAAAGACACTGTCCGAATTCTGCCATGCAAGTAAGTTGCCATAATTACTCTTCCCTCTTTAGCATGTTTTCCCGAAGAAATATGTGGTGAGCTTTCTGGAAACTCTTCTGAAACTCTGGTGACAGAGCTGAAGCTGTGCCATTTGTATGGCCTGTTACATCTTGAAGGGCACTGGGAGACCATGTAGCACTTCATATCTATGCAGGATAAAGGAGCAACTGGGAGAAATGTAGGAGTGAAGTAGAGCTTTCTTAGTATTAAGTTAGAACTACATGCTGTTGAACTGGTAGCTCTGCAGTGTCCTTGTGGTTAGTAACATCTCTTATTTCAGAAAGCTAGCAGGAAAGAAGAGGCTTCCAGAACTATGTCTGTCCTGGTAAATTAAGCATACCTAATTGTCAAGGTTATAAAGCAACGTTTTGGTTGTGTGGTTTTTTTTAATGTAGTAACTTCCATATCATTTGAAGGAATAGTGTGTGGCTTTCATGATAAGTTCTAAAGGGCATTTCTTTTCTTTAGGCACATCTTTCATAGAACGTGCATTGACCCTTGGCTTTTGGACCACCGAACTTGTCCAATGTGTAAACTAGATGTTATCAAAGCTTTGGGATACTGGGTATGTTGCACACTTACTTTAATCTTCAAGGTAGAAGTACAGGGCAGGAGGCAAGACTTCATGTAACCGTTCAGAATGAGAAGAGTTGTTACTTGACGAGGCTGAAGAAGCTGGGCAAAGATGCAAGAGTAGTTGAGTGAGAACCAGAAAAATAAGGGAATTTTATGGGTAAGAGCTTAAACAGTGTATCAAGCAGCTTATGAATTCTCTGTGTGCTCTTCTGTGATAACCAATTTTTTCTACCTCCAGCTGATGATAGTAAGGAAGTTGAAGCAGTGGTGAGGCAATTTGCCCAAGCTGCAAAAATATAACTTAATTCAGTAGATCTAGAGCATATATTTGATCTTGTTGAGAACTGCAATTCAAAGGAAGAAATTATAGTTTTTCTATCTTGAGTGTTTGTGTACTTCCACATATGCCCAGTGTTTTATCCCTGTAAATGAGCCAGTACTTAGAACCTTCCTAAAGACGTTCACCAGAAATTGGTTAAGTAGAGAAAATGATGTGCTCTCATTTCTTTCTGACAGCACCAGAAAAGAGAGATGAAGACACATGCGGTAGGTTACTTGGTCACTGTTGATAAATAGTCTTGAGTTCCACTGAAATGCCATAGGCATGAATGTACTTCTCTTCTACACATCTACAGAGATCTTCAGAAAATAGGGGTGTTCCTTGGTTTCAGGGACCTTCCTTTCATAGACTAGGTCTGCGCTTTGACTAGCTTTCTTCTTGTTTTCTTGCAGAGACTTAGCAGATCTATGAAAGACTTCTATGAATTACTTTTTTGTTTTGTCAAAGGTGACAAATCTTTGCTATGTAATACACATAACCATATTGTGGCGCTTCTGTGTATTAAGTCAGACTTTACCCAAGAGTTGCAATCTTTTTGTCATGTGAAATAGCTGTTATTACTGTAATATTGTGATGTTAGCAGCTTATTTTTTTGCTCCCTTTCAGTTCTTGGAGTTGATGTAACTTGCGTTATGTGCAGAAGGATATATTCTATCCTCTTGTATACAGTCTGAAAACTGAAATACTAGAACCTTCAGAACACTTTCATTCCCTGAATTAATGCCATTGCAGGGGATACTGATACCAAGCCTAACCAGGAAGAGGAATACCTCCTCTGCTTGTTAGGCAAAATGAATGTTGGAAAGCAGGTTGAATGGGATCATATTAAATACAGAAGCCCTGTTCTTTGTTCTAATGGAATGGGGGAAATGTGTCTTGCTTATGCATCAGTCGTTCAAATCCCACTGAAGCTAGTAATTTAGGAAATCATTCAGCATTTTTTTTTCTAGCTTAGTTTTCAGCCTGATTCAGGTTGCCAATCTAGTTTGTAGAGTGCTTGTGTGAATTTTTTACTGACATGAGGAAAAAAGTGCAACAAGCAAGGCAGCTTTTTTCAGCAGTGTGCTTGCTGAGTGACATAACTGCAGACAAGAATGTGCAGCCTTATTATCGAAATCTATTTCTGCAAAGAGGCTGAAGGCTCAATTCAGTTTTATGGAAAACAAATACCTTACTTAGATGCTTCAAAATTTTTAAAGGCTCAAAGTAGAAAGAAGGCCCTAAGTCCTATTACCTGGCTTTTGTTTTGTAAAGAGCGGACTTCAGTGGTCTAGTTCTGCATTATGCTATTTCTTAGAAAAAAAGAACTGCAGTTCAACGTGTCTGACTGATTTAGAGCATTGTCGAATCTTGTAGTTTTAGTGCTTATTTAACTGCCTAAGTTTTGGAAACCAAAATCATTAATGCCCCCCACCCATATACCTAGAGATTAGTATCACATGTGTCTTAACTTGTGTTCAATGGTAGCATTTCTATAGCTTATTAAAACTCAGTACATTTTAAAATGTGCTGGTGCTAAAGAAAGGGTCAGCCTAGAATTTCTTAAATCTTAAGATGGGCCTTTGCAAAGTGTTTGAGGAGGGGGAAAAATACTCGTTATGAAGCCCACAGAATAGCTACTTGTACTGCAGTATACTTGTTTCTGTATATATAATGTCAGTATATCAATGGTTATAGTGTGATGAAGGTAGTCTGAATTCTGGGAACAGAATTGTGCATGTAGGACTTCTAATTAACTTTCAGAATGGATCAGAAATAGCTCATGCTATACAATAGGTGAAATAAATTCCTTTGCCTGTGCTGCAGATGTTTTGTTCCTGCAAAGTAACAAGCCAGCGTATTTGCATTTTTGGAACAGACTTAAAGTTAGGCTGGAGGTAGAGGAGGAGGGAAGTTTGTTCCGATGTCAAATGTTTGCTCACCCCAGTTAAAAAAAAGTCTAAGCCTGCCCAACTCTTTTATGAAAAACAGTGGCTTCCACAAACTTACAAAGGATCAATAGGTTTGCTCAGCGAAGACTTTGTATGTGCTGAGCCTGCTCCTAACCCGACTGCAGCAATACTGTTGCTACAGTGTTGAAACATTCCATCCAAAAGGCTGGCTGGGTTACTCCTCCTATTGCTGCTCTTGACTTCAGAGTGGCTTTGGAAAAGTGGCTTCTCTTTTGCTTGGCTTTGTTTCTTTGCAGTCAGACAATAACAGCGGAAGTAGACACTGCTCAACACTATACCCATGAGCACATAGATAATAGGCTGAAAAATGGTCTTTTTTTTAATAAGGTGAGGTTACGAAGTGGTAACATGGAGGAATGTTGATGCCTAATGGTAGACAAAAGTGTCAGTTAAATATATTTAATTTTGAAGGGGGACCCTGAAGATGTACTTGAAGTTCCAATACCTGAATCAATAAGTGGCAGTGTTTCAGTCGGAAGTCTGAGTATTGCTTTACAAGATGATGACAGAAATGAAGTAAGCGAATTGTCAGCTTCCTCCACTAATGAATCTGTATTGCAGTGTACCAGTTTAAAAGAGGACGCAGGTGAAACCACAGCATTACTTGGTAAGTAATAATTTAGTTTATCACTTGACAATCCTTAATGCCATTCATTGCATTAGAAGAAGCCATTCTCTAAGTGATGTTAGTAGTGTTATTATTGCACTGTGGGTCAAACTGAGTGGTGTCACTACTGATGTTCAGAAAGTACAAGCAGGTAGATTTTGAGAGAATTTTATTGAGCTCGATAAAATTGGTCTCAAGGTTGGGGCAGAGGGGGGGAAGATCTAAACAGTGTCTTAGGAGGATTACTTACACAAAGAATCTTGATAACCTTAGGTATCTATCAGTATGGAACTTGTTGCCAGAGTTCGGATTACTGTAACAGATAAGATGTATTAAAATGGTAAATCAACAAACAATTTTTCTTCGAATTCCTGGGTTCTAGATGTGGATGTCAGTAATAACCGGCATGGAGAACATCTATCTAATGGAAATTCCCACTGAACTGCTTCATGGAAGATACCTTGAATAGACTGTTGAAGAACTATTATTTTTTATTTAATTAGTATGGACTTTTGTCTAGTTAACGGAAAAAATAACAATGTAAATTATTTTACCTTTCAAACTTTTCTAGCTGGTGTTCCAAAAGGGCTAATAACTAAGAATTTTGTACGCAGGAGGATTTTATAAAATCTCCTCTGGATGTCTCATCCTAAAAAAAGATGCAATAACCCTTTTTCTGTAAGCATTGTTACAATGTCATTGTGTTCCAGAGGGCTGTAACAAAGATGAAGACTAGGCAGTGAAAACAATGTATAATGTCTAACAGATAAATATTTTGGATGCACTATTTACATTCACTATGTACACATGAAGAACACTTACAAGACTACAACTATTAAAATGTTCAGAAATTTCTGATCTGTTGTAATTGGAGATAGATATTCTTAGAAAAGAGGTAATCTAACCTTGAAGGAATCAAATAACTTCATGGATATGTTGCATATCCTTTTTTGTGATGGAAAAATTGCTAGTTGCAACGTTCCTTACATGTAACAAATACTAATTTGATCTTGTAATGTGTTCTACTCAGAGTGGATGCTGAGAGAAAAGGAGACTTTCTCCATCCTGCTAGCTTTTATACTGAATTTGGCAGTAATAGGTTGTGCTAGGTGGTCTTCACGTGCTGAGCATGTAGACTTATTTAGGTATATGCACACTGGTTACCTCTTTCAATCTTAAACTCAGTAGAACAGAGGTAAAGGGCTAATTATGGCTAAAATATATTTATTAGTCTATTTATAAGAATTTACTTAATTCCTTCCTATTCCTGCTCCCATCCTGTCCCACTTAGTTATGTACAAATTGAAACTGTTTCTTAGTATCTACAAAGTTTGGTTTTGGTTTTTTTTTTTTTCCTTTGCATAGAGATGCTGGAATTCTTCTCTTGGATATTCCACATTAGGAGTTTTGACTGGGTTTGCCATTAGCTTTTATTCCTTTCTTTTAGATTAGCAGTATTGTGCCTTATAGTAAAACACTTAAGAAACCTGAAGCATCTGAGAGTAAATATAAACCCTGGCATCTCCCATTATGACCTCTTATTCAAATATTTATGTACTGTAAGTGGTATAAGGAATTGCTAAACTGTTTTGTAAAGAAATATGTATATTTAAAACACTACTTATTAAGAGTGTTAAGTGAATTGTTTAGGATTTTAGCATTGTCATGTTATAAATAATATGCTACATTCCTCAATTTTCTTTTGTAAAGCTGTTACTACAGGTTGCTTAAAACAGTGTCTTTCACTAGACATTTGTTTTAGAGTGCATTTTGTTTTTAAAATGTATATTTGGAATGTTTTTAAGAAAATATGCAATTCTTTTTCTAACTTATATTGAGCTTCAATAGAAGCAATAACTTTTTTTAATTTTAGAATGAATGTTCCAGAAATGACAGAGGTTTCAGCTGGGGAAATGTAATCTGAACTTCTACTTTGCAGAGCAGATGTTTCACCCTAAATTTCCTTCAAAATATCCCTGTTAAAAAAAAAAAAAAATCAATCTGCCTCTTCCCTGTAGGAGTGTTACTTTTACGTTTACTCGAAAGTTGTCAGGTTGTAGTTCTGATGTCACCAGCAGGTGCAAGTTTTTGTGATGCCTTTATCTTACGAGAAGCACATGGGAATGGAGTATGACTGACCAACCATCTCCAAAACTGAACAAATGAAAAAACAACCCACAACTAAACCAAACAATGTATAGGGACATTTATGTCTCCAAAAGAAGCTTATCAACATTTCCAGAACTGCCTTTTTAACTATCTCTTCAATATTAAAATCTAAGTCTTCTCCCTCTTCCTTAACACAAAACTGAACATTGATGTAGTAAACGTTGAGAGGGTTCAAACTCTAGCTCAAGGAGGAACAAAAAGGCGTTATCAAGAGAAGTCTTGTCAGTCTGTGGATTGTGTCTTGCTGATACCTGCAGCGCAATATTCATGCTGGAGGGGAGAAATGTGGTAAGTACTTCAGCTTTTGTGTAATACCTGTAAAACCAAAAGCTTTTCTTAAGAGTCAAAGCTGAGATCTGGCAGAAAGCTGGAAGAAAAGCTGAAGAACCTGCAAATTGAAAAGTGTGCTTATAAAATCTGAAGCATAAGTAATACTACTGACTTGGAAAAATATCTGAGTGTGAAGATTCCTGGAGTATGTTTCTAAAGCTGGCACTACACCGGTTTCATTTTGACCTTTCACAAGCATAGTTACAGTTGTTTCAGTCAAGCTGGTTTGCACATAGTTCATCTTTGATATAGTTAGGTCTCGTAAGGCCAGCTGTGCTGCTGAGGAATGATGACAATAAAAGGCCGAATTGCAGTGCCTCCAGCAAGCAGTTTGCTCTCCTTGGAAGCACGATGACAAAAATCTTCCGAAGCGAATCATTAGTCTGACCTCAGTCAAAAAGCTGACATGCATGAGCAAAAAGCGGTAGGTTAAAAAGTACAGGACAGGAAAGAGACAACGTGTGGAGTTTAAAACATTAGCAAGAGGAGATTAGAAACGTGAAGCTTATCACCTACTGTTGTAACTCAAATGAATTACTGTTAGAGTAAATAGGTGTAAGCAGCTATAGGTAAATACAGGTTCCCAGACTTGCTGATCCAGACCTGCTATATTGGGTCAAACTGGTATTTCTAGTTTCTAGCATTTGAACTACCAAAAGTTTATACGAAGGTCAGAATTAATGACTCCCTGCTATGAATGTTTTTGCAGGATACGTGCCTTGTGACTCCCTCCCCTACTGTTTGGAGAATCTTTAATCTGCTTCTTCTGCTTAGGCTATGTCCCACCTAATGTGGGAGCTGATGCTGTATGTGTTGTGGGTTCCTTCTGTGCCCCCCCCAGCCCAATCTCTTTCTGTTCCTAGCTGTGCATTTTTCATAAAACACGCGGGAACTTATCTGAGACCTCTGTCTCTTTGTCAGATTTTGGTGAAGTCGGGCAGAGGGGTTCTTACAAGAGGCATTCATGTGGCGTGATAATACAAAGCTAAAGCACGGTGTCCACATGAAGTGGACAGCCTGCCCGTGGTGATGGCGAATAAATCAGTTGGGGAAAATCCCTAGCCAGGACTGGGGCATGTTGGTGTTGTAGAATGAGTTTTGTTAGTACCACGTTCATTGGTACAGCTTTGTTAGTTCTGGTGTTACTGTTAAGGAGAAGATTTGTAAAGTTTACGTGATTTTAAAAAGGAGCTATGAACATGTCAAAATGGACTGGTGTTTAAAGTGAGACTAGAGGGCCTCTTTGTTCAGAAATCTTAGTTTACTAATAATAGTCTACAAAAAGCCAAACTGGAGAATAAATTTGATAGTAAATAACTGCTTAAACTAACTTCAGCTTTCAGACTTGATAGCAAGCAAAAATGAACTGTAGACATTTCAGATCTAAATGCATGTTAATAGTGAGTTTAATTACCTGCAGTACCAACTTAACTAGAAAATTTGGATTTTCTTTTACTAACTACCCCTAGACTGGATTCGTCTTTGGCGCTAAGCAATGCTTGGAGGAGATTCTTTGCATGTACTAGGGAACTTTGATTAGATAGCAGTAACTCCTTCCCCCTGCCTCTCGCCCTCCCCTCGAGTATGTGAATGTAGCCCAGTAACCTGTTGCCAGTCATCAGTGCTAGGTTCTGGAGGTATGCCAGAGGAGTTGTAGAATAATTTAACTACAGTGAGAATGCTTTTAATCCATGCTGACTTAATAAATCGGGCACTGGTATATTCCTGCCAAAGCTAGGCTGTTACACTTTGGGAATTCCAGTCCTGTGCCAGGGTGTAACTGGCACGGAGAAACACCATTGCAACAACTTTGTCAAACATGCATAGACTTCTTTTAATCACTTCTTGATTCAGGAGTGGTCATCCTGGTTTTCTGCCTGGCCTGCTAAGCCTTCTCTAAGTCTAGGCAGTAGTAGCTGTGCAGAGAGGAGCCCAGCAAGTGTGTAGCGATGGTTACCCCACTTCTGTGCCCCGTGGTTCAGAGGATGTCTGAGGCAGAGGCAGTATCTACACTTGCTGGTTTTGATGAGCTTGATCAGAAGCAAAAGGTGTTCATTTTACACTATGATGGCAGCAGATAGGACACAGCAGGTTGGGCTGATTATTTAGCTGCCCCATAAAAGCAGGCTTCTGTCTAGACAAGTCTAGACATGCAACTGCTGTCAGCAATATCAACTGTACTTCGAAGTATACACCAGTAGTCTAAGAATGGCATTCTGAATTTGTGGAATATTTTTTCAGTTGTTACCACACTGTGTAATAAAGATATGTTTTTGTTACGCATCGATGTCCCAAGTGTCTGGTAAAACTGGGAACTTTTGCTCAACAGAGTCTGTAGCACCCTGAATCAAGCCAGTAATGATGGTATTTTGGTGATGGTTAGGTGGGTGTTTGGGGGTTTTGTTTGCTTTTTTGTTTGGGTTTTTTGTTTTCTTTTTGGTGGGGTGTTTTTTTGTTTGTTTGCTTTGTTTTTGTTGGTGGTGTTTTGGGGGTTTTCTTCTTGTTGAGTGGAGAGGTTGCATATGTAGTTTTCATTGGTTTGATTTTCAGCAGTTGGCGTTGAATGGTAGTGTTTCTGCACTGGATGAAGATACTGAGATCAATAAGAATGTGCTGAAATCTAGTAGAGGAGTCAGATGGCAATATCTTGTTGGGTTCACCTGGAAGGAATGGAGTTCTTGGTGTGGGCTGCTGGGTGAATTAAATTGCATTGGTAGCTTGAGAGGAGACTGTTCCCTTCTGTATGTCTCCCTGCAGCCAGCGGGCTGGGTGAGACTTTGCACACTGGCTTGCACCAATTTAATAGCTGGCTGTTGCAAGGAGAGATGGAGTCGTCCTTTCTGGTTTCCTTTTCTCCTCTATTTACTTTGCTCTGTCTTGCAGTCAGATTAAGGGTATGTGATAAACTAATTCAGCTTAGGTGGCAGAAAATTAAATCTATCGGAGCTGTATTTTGACAAGCTAGGAAACTGAATATCCTTACTGTGCAATTGTCTGAGTTTTAGAGCTGGGCTAAGGGGATGAGGAGTTGGGGTGGAGGAGGGAAGAACAAGACTCTTCCCTTGGATAAGTTGGAGATGCAGTCTTATAATAGGGCCTCAGTGAATTACAGTTCCTGAAATGGAAAATGGCAGCAGCATTTTCTTTTTTTTTTTTAACCAGAATGGCTGTAAAAATTGTGACATGTCCTCTGTCCTTGAGACTGATCTTTACTAGATGTGTTCTTTTCTCTCGTAGGTGATATGTGAAGATTTGGGAATTGGAATTGTAGATAAAACATGCACAAATCAAGCTGAAGGCTTTTGGTTTTGTTCAGTATGGGTCCTGATCTCTCTCCTCAGATATCCTGCTGTATTGCAAAACTTGATTTGAGAAAGTTTTAAAAGTAGAATGTTTCTATAATTGCATGTGTTTGTGTGAAGAATGCATTGCCTGGAAAATGTCCAC